AGGATCTCGGCAGGCCAGTTGATCCTGCCCGGAGTCAGCTCAAGATCAGTGCACGTGCCACTGATCCGAAGATGCAAGGTTTCCTCCGCAGCACTTCCATGCAACAGTTGACCACTTTATTTCAGGAAGCGTCACGCATGATCGATTCACGACATGTGAACCCGCCAGCGTATGAAGTTCGTACACAGGCAGCTTTACGTAACCTGGTCAATGTTTTGGAGAATGAAGATTTCTGGAGAGTGCATCGCGGAACACCTAATGCAAATGCCATTCGTACGATGCAACAACAACTGTCACAGTCGATGACTGCTCAGCCTGCTCGCACAGCGACTGAAGCAGTGGGCCTCATGCAATGGTCCGCTGAGTTAGTGAGCCGTCAAACGGGAATTCGACGAGAAGCGATAGCTCTGGAGTTCATCAATGGCACAATCGACTCGCTCGATAAATACTCTTCCTTCATGCCTGAGGCGAGTGCATACGCTCCAGGCGCCGAGTTGGAAGGTCGTAAGACAGCCAGCTTGGAAGAGAATATCGTCGGCATCGGTGTTGAACTCGAAACGCATCCTCTGGGAGCTGTGATCGTTGGAATTGTTGATAACAGTCCTGCAACCAGCTTGGGATTGCAGGAAGGTGACATCATTGTCGCTGTTAACCGCCAGACAACGGAGGGGCTTAGCCTGAACGAAGTTGCTGGAAAAATGGGAGGTCCCGCAGGGACTACGATTCAAGTTGATATCGAACGGGATGGCCAACGCTACCGCGGATCATTGACCAGGCGTCGCATCTACGTCAGCAGTGTCACCGGTACGAAGATGGTCGATGAGAGCCGCAAGGTTGGGTACGTTCGGTTGAAACAGTTTTCTGAATCAACTCGCAAAGACTTAGAGCAGAGCTTATGGAAATTACACAACGCGGGCATGCAGTCACTGGTTCTCGACTTGCGAGGGAACCCTGGCGGATTGCTGGACCAGGCAATTGAAGTTTCTAACCTGTTCTTGCCATGTGGAACGATTGTTTCCACCAAAGGCCGGAACTTGTCGGATAACTCGGAGGAATCGGCCACTCATCAACGAACTTGGAGCGTTCCCTTGGTTGTGCTGATTGATAAGAATTCTGCTAGTGCCAGCGAAATCTTCGCTGCCGCGATTCAGGAAAACGAACGAGGTGTGATCGTGGGACAACAGTCATACGGCAAAGGAACAGTTCAGACTCACTTCCCACTGCAAACGGTTTCCGGCTTGTTGAAATTGACGACAGCCAAGTTTTACTCCCCTAGCGGACGTGAAATGGCTGGAGTTGGTGTTCGCCCTGACGTCTTCATTAATGAGACTTCAACTGGCTACCGCGGGACTCAGGATGATCCAGTGTTGGATGGTGCTTTGGCAACCATTCAACAGGGAGCTCCTGATCGACTGGCTCAGCAGGCTGCGACTTGCAAACGAACGAAGTATCAGTCACCCAACTTGACCAACAACCTCAACTCCAATAACTGGGGACAAGAACTCCAGCAAAACATCTTTGGCAGATAAAGCATCCTGCTCTAACAGAATTTGACACCCGCCCTGGTCCTCACCGGTGCGGGTGTTTTTTGCATTGACTCTACGGCTCTGATTGTTAGCAAACGAGGAGCGAGTGGACGTTGATCCAGGCCGGAAGTTATGCTCTTCACGTGAATTTCCTACCCTCTGCTGATACATCCCATGCTGCAAAAATACTTGCTCCTCTGGCTCTTGCTTAGTTCTCTTGTCGCCGGCTTGTGGACGAGTTTGTTTGGGGAAGAAGCTTTCGATCCATTTGTTGAGAGCAAGGCTTACTTAGGCTGGATTGTCGCAGTCGTCATGTTTAGTGTCGGGACATTACTGCCAGTCAAAGAAGTTAAAGAGGTGCTCAAACGCTGGCCGCTAATTCTGGGGGGGACGGCATTTCAGTATACTTCGATGCCGTTTCTGGCATGGTTGATCGCGAGATCCTTTGGCTTTGAAGGCGATTTGTTTATCGGCGTGATTATGGTTGGCTGCGTTCCCGGAGCGATGGCTTCCAACGTGCTCACCCTGGTTGCCCGCGGGAATGTGAGCTATTCAGTTGGATTGACCACCTCAGCGACAATTCTTTCTCCGATTATCGTGCCTGTCGTGTTGAAGTTGACGTTGGGGCATCAGGCGGATGTTGAGCTTTTACAGAAGACAGCTTTTCTACTTGTACTGCAAGTGGTCTTGCCCGTTGTGAGTGGGTTCTCATTGTGCCGGGTGAGCCATCGCTTTGAGGCGATCGCTAAATCAATCAGTGGTCCATTGGCCAATCTGAGTATCTTGTGGATCATTGCAGTCGTCGTCGCACTCAATCGTGACAACATCCAGGCATTGCCGATTGTGCTGATGCTTGGTTTGCTGATTATCAATCTGGGTGGGTATCTGGCAGGTCAGATCGGCGGCCGAATTCTAAGAATTGACTCTGGGATGAGACGGGCATTAATGCTGGAAATCGGGATGCAGAATGCCGGAGTCGGTGCGAGTTTGGCCAAAAGCCTGTTTCCCGATCAACCACAGATCGCACTTCCCTGCGGGCTGTTTGCCTTCGGTTGCATGACGACGGGGACCATCCTGGCAGAAGTTCTCAAACATCGGACGGTACAAGGTGCAGACTCTGATATCACCTTGGTCGATGACGACAGCGTGGGCCTGGACTGTTGAAAATCCTTCCAACTTGAGAGATAGGTGAACTTTCGGTTGAAATTGCTGACCGGTTGAGAGTGATCAGGCTCAAGAAATATTGAACATAAGCAAACAGAGGGAACAGAGAGTTGACCTTACTGGTTGAGACCAGCATCGGGTCTCATCACTTCTCTGCGCCCTCATGTTCAAATGGTTTTTGGTGATTCAGTGAATTACGTTGAATGACCAATTTTGCTTGATAGTCGTCGATCCGCTTCGCGGTCGCACGTCCTTCGCAGTGGACATCCAACAGCCATGACTCAAGATCAACAGGGTGGCAGGGTCAGGAGCGTTCAGCATATGACCCAGAATTGGACGTCCATTTTCTGGGACATCCGCTCCGCTACTGTACCAGCCACCCGTCGGTGGGTTACGCAATAATTTTCTAATCAAAATCAACCGTTGTTCAACAGTAAAACCGAGAACGGAACCCACCATTTCACCAACGGAATCTTCACCCACCCTAAATTTCTAACGCAAAGGCGCAATGACGCCAAGAATGGAAGGGAACTGTAGAATGATTCACTTTGCACCATCGCGTCTTGGCGACATTGCGTTTTTTATTGTCCTTGCGATGGGTCTAAAACCCTCGCCTTCAGGCGAAACCTTTAGGTTTTTCAGTTCGTCTGCTTACAATCGAAGGATGGAAAATTATCGAACAGGCTCCCATAGCCGCTATGACATTAAGTATCACTTTGTGTGGGTGACGAAATATCGTAAACCCGTTTTGACTGGTGCAGTTGCAGTTCGCCTGCGTGACTTGGTTCGAGAGATTTGTCGTACACAAGAGATCGAGATTCTGGAGGGTGCGGTTTCCAAAGATCATGTTCACGTCCTACTATCTTGCCCTCCGAATTTGTCACCCAGCAAAGTAATGCAATACATCAAGGGAAAAAGTTCTCGGAAATTGATGATGGAATTCAAACACATTGGGAAGCAGTACTGGGGACGCCATCTCTGGGCACGTGGATACTTCGTTGCATCCAGCGGGAACGTCACAGATGAGGCGATCATGGCGTACATTCGTGGGCAAGAGGATACAGAACCGGGAGACGGTGGTGACAACTTTCGAGTTCCCAATTCGTGAGTGAAGGACTTCAGTCCGTAGCTCACGAAAACCTCAAACCCACCGGCTTCAGCCGGTCGGTGTTTAGTTCTTGATCTGCTGTGACCATTCCTGCTCCCCACGGCTGGACTGTTGAAAATGTGTTCACCTTGGGAGATTGGTGAACTTGTGAATCCATCTCCTCCTCAGTGAACTCTTTCTCTCTGCGTTTCAGAAATGAGGACAGGATGGACAGGGTGATTGTGTTGGTCATTTACCGCAAGTTCATTCAACCGCTAATAAACAGTGATGAACGCTAATGAATAAAGAATTTGCGTTTATTAGCGTGAATTAGCGGTCCTTTTCAGTGACTCTGACGAGCCCCGGTTCGTCAGGTTCTTGAATTAGCGTAGCAGATGATTATTCGCCATTGTGATCCCGGAAAGCATTGAGCCAATAATGCCTAAGAAACCCTGATCTGTTCCGCACAGGTAAAGATGTTCAATGGGAGTTGTACCGTCGAGAACCTTAACGGGTGCTCCATAGACAGCGCCCTTCAGGTGACCAGTGAATTTCTTAATGGTCCGGGGAGTGAAGACGTCCGTGTCGATAATGTGTTCGCGAATATCAGGAATGTGCTCCTGAGCGGCGTCAAGAATTTTCTTGGTCCATAACTCTTTCGCGGGGTAATACTCTTCATCGGGCAGGTTCATCCAGTAATCAGGATTTGCTAATGCAGTAATACGAATAAACCCTTCTTCGAGTTGCTCGTCATCGCTGTACTGAAAGTTATTCGGTGAACAGATAATCCCGCTCCGCAAGTCACACGGTTCTTCAGGGGGCTCATAGTGAAACTCTTCTTCGTTGTTATAGAAGACAATGGTCTCTTCGTGCCCCAACTCGCGTGGCTGCTTGTCGAGGACGAAGATGGCCTCATTGAAAGAGACCTCTCCATGCTGCACTTCCACATCGGGCAGGTGCTCCCGGCAAAGATCGTAAGTTTCGTGAACGCCAACTGAAGAGAGAATATTGTCAGCGAGTATCTCCTCTCCCTGATCGGTAATGACCCCGACCGCCTTGCCTTCATTAACGAGGATCTCCTGAACACCATGACGGAGCTTGAGTTCACCCCCCAGCGATTTGAAGTGCTTCGTCAAGGTTTTCAGAATTTGACGGACACCTGCGTAGGGTCTGCCGAAACCTTCTTTGAAGATACTTTTAAACATGATCACAAACTGATTGAAGTCCATGTCATGCGGAATCGCAGAACCATAGAACATCAAGGGACAGAGCAGCATATCGATCAGCAATGGGTCAGAGATCGTTTCACTCAGGATTTTGCGAGCCGAGACAGGCTCTTGTGAGAGATCAAGCTCATTGAACTCTTCTACTTTTGTTACTAGTTTGCGAAATGCGTCAGCCTGTTCGGGAAACTCAGCACTAACATCGCTGAGAAATTTTTCGTAGTCGTTATCAAATCTCAAAGAGTGACCGGGGAAGACAACAGTTGAACCGTTCTGTGGAGAGAGGTCAAAATCATCCCAGCGGAGCCGAAGTTGTTTCAGTAGTTTAGCCAGTGGTCCCTTGCGTGTGCCGGGTTCAGCGTAATTTTTGAACGCATGCAGAACGACATCATAATTTCCATCACGCAGGCGGTAGAAAGAATTTAATCCACCAATTGTGGTGTGTCTTTCCAGGATACAGACGGACTTCTCGTAGTATGCCAGGCGAATTCCTGCAGCTAGACCGGACATCCCGGCGCCGATGATTATTGCGTCGTACTTCACTGAAATTCTTTGCTTGAGATGATTAACAATTCACGACTGGTCATTCTAGGACCGTTCGAATAATAACAGTCCAATGTTCAGGTTGGTCGAGTCGCAACCGTTATAATTGTTACCGAAGTGGGTAGTGGGTAGCAGATAGTGGATAGGAAGTGCTTCACATCATGCGATGGTTAACTTGTCAAATTCCTACCAACTATCCACTACCAACTTCTTATATGAGACGATATTAATGCCACAAATAGGCGTTGATTAAAAAGGAACAGTAATTTCCAGGTCATTCCCTACTCTGGTCAATTTAGTGATTACGTCGCTTTCTTCAACAAGCCAACAGCGACATGACCGCCGAACCCGAGTGATGTTTTGATAAGATACTCGATTGGTTGCGCGATCGCAGTGCTGCCAGAGAGACGATTAGGACAATCTGGATCATGGTGTTCGTGATTCCTGGTGGGGGGAATCAACTGGTCTCGGAGTGAGAGGACGCTGAAGGCTGTTTCTACAGAACCAGCAGCCCCCATGAGATGACCAATGGCTCCTTTGACTCCGAAACCGATTGGTGAATGTGGAAAAGCTTGATGAATGGCGTTCGCCTCAGCCAGATCATTTTGCTCTGTCGCTGTCCCATGATAACAAATCACAGAGACTTGGTCTGGATGCAGGTTATTGCGGTCGAGTAAGCGACAAATCAACTCTGTTAGAACTTGGCCTGAAGTGTCGACGGATGTCATGGCTGTCGGATCGCTGCCGGTGATACCATCGATCCATTCTGTCAGTGGCCTCACTCCTCTTGCTCGTGCTGATTCCCACGATTCCAGAACGACAGCGCCAGATCCTTCTCCGACGATAAATCCTGTACGGTTTTGGTCAAATGGACGGCAAGCCATTTCAGGAGAACCTCCTGGCTTGGCGAGTACTCCTAGCCGACGATAAGACGCGAGCAAGCCGGGGTGCAGGGAAGCATCTGTACTGCCAGCCACAGCGAATTGAGCATCCCCATGGCGAATCAGTTCAGCTGCTCGAATCGTGCTGACGAGACCTGTTGCGCAAGCAGCGATGGGGCTCAGTTGGGGACCAGAAAGTACAAGGTCAGCAGCCACCGCTGAACTTGCCTCACTTGGGTAGAGGACATCGGTTTCGAATGTTTCTCCAATATTATTGCAGAACAGTTGATCGACAGCTGAGAGGTCGGTCTTACTTGTGCCGATGACACATGCCGTTCCATGTTTGTCTGCCTCGCTGAGACCGGATTGATTCCATGCTTCTCGCGCCGCAGACAAGGCGAACAGTCGAGTCCGACTACTGGTCAGTTTACCTGACAAAGAAGGAGCGGCTGCAGGAGCACCAAACCAGGTCTCTGCCTCAACGGTTGTTCTCGCACTGAAATCATTGCCAGTCAGGAATCGGCCAGCTGCATCTCCTTTGATAATCCGCCGCCATGACTCAGAACTGTTTTGTCCCAGTGGAGTGACTAACCCGACTCCAGTGACAGCCAATCGTAATTGCTTCACGAATGGCTCCTGCAGATTACGGTGTTACGAATCCGTTTAGAGTGTTCGTAATTTGTGAAAAATGGAATTGAGTGATCGCTGGCAGCATAACTAAGCGGCTTGATAAGAATCATTGGCTATTGGATCAACTGCGATTACTACTACGTCCGACTGCGAAGAGGGCCAAACCGGTCATGAAGAGCACAATGAAAATCTCAGTCCACAATGAGCGAACGATCACGGAACCACCACCCACGGGAACTTGTGCTGTTGGTGCAGGCGCTGTGGTCGGAGCTGGAACAGGTGCCTGTGCGAGCAACGAACTTTGTATTACCAGTACAAAGAGCAGCAAGGTGCACGAAATAGACAAATTACGAAGCAGACTCATTGAAATGGATTCCGCAGAATATAGAGAGTAAATGAAGGTAACTCTCAAAGTACCGACTTTTCTGCTGCTTCGCAAAGCAAAGGGTCCCTAAAGAACAGAAAGAATCGGCAGCCGCAGTTTACGATATTCGTTCGCAGGCAGATTGACTGTTTGCCAGCTGGGAGAACGGACTTTCATCGCCTCAGCATAATCTGAAGTCCAGACACCATAAAACGCATACCGTCCTTGCTTAAATTCCCACGAAAGTGTGTGTTTCTCATAGTCTCTGGGAGATTTCAACTGGTACGCAAACACGAGCATACTACGAAAGCCATTCCCGAAAACGTTTTCCCACTCAAGCAGGCTGTCGATATCTTCCGACATAGTCCAGTTTTCCCAGGTACTGGTTCCTTCTGGAAAACGGCGGCCTTTGACATCGATTAACAGGTTGTACTCATTCTGAGAGTAGACAACAAAATCCATCGACTTTAATGACGAATCTCGAAAGAGGGCCCGACGGGTCTCATCGACAGCGACATAAGGCCGCCGCAACAGTCTCAAAAACTGTTCAAAAGCAACATCATAATGGTTCGACCGTTTCGCCATCTTTTGGGTGACTCTGTTTTAGTGATGCTAATAGTTACTCATGAAACTGAATGCCGTTCAGATTTTCATCAGTTTAACTTTCTGCACTCAGAACGGTGACCTCTGCGAATTAAGCAGCGCTGAAAAGGAGATTTTTACAGTATTGTGAAACGCGGATCACCGCAGATGCGGCGGATTGACGCAGATTAAATCTGCGTCAATCCGCAACGATCCGCTTCATCCGCGTTTAGAAACAATTGTTTATCCTGTCTGCTAAGAGTGAAACTGAAAAGTTCATGATCGATTGAAAATTCATTTGCTTGTTGAATTTGTTTCATCAGAGACAAAGTCTGCAATCGCTCCAAAGTCAGCTTTTAATGACTGATAGAGCTGCCGGTAAATTGGGTAGGCACGATTATAAGTCGCCTTGGCGGTCTCGCAAGATTTTGTTTCTGTCACGACAGAAATCGTTGCATTGCAGGCTTCTACGACATCGGAGTAGGCTCCTGTCCCGGCGGCAGCCAACAGAGCAACACCGTAGGCGGGGCCTTCTTCAGCGTTGATCGTGACAACTTCCTGACCGTAGATGTCCGCTTGTAATTGTCTCCAGAACTGGCTGCGGGCTCCACCACCAGAAACGCGAATTTGCTCGACAGGGATGTCCATCTCTTTGATCAATTCCAGGCAATCTCGCATCGCAAATGTCGCCCCTTCCATCACGGAGCGAGCAAAGTGTGGACGAGAGTGCCTCAGGCTCATCCCGACCCATGAACCTCGTGCATTAGGGGCAGCGTGCGGTGTTCGTTCGCCAGTCAGGTACGGCAGGAAGAAGAGACCTTCAGAACCGGCTGGAGCCTTTGCGGCTTGGCTCGTTAGTAATTCGTAGGGATCGACACCCATCGCTGCAGCTACGGCGACTTCGGATTGAGCAAACTGGTTGCGATACCATTGAAAACTCCCTCCGGCGGAAAGAACACACCCCATGACATGCCATTTATCACGAACAGCATGACAGAAGGTATGGATGCGACCACCAGCATCGATTTGCACTTCGTCGCTGTGCGCGAAGACGACTCCGCTGGTGCCCATTGTCGCTGAGATGGTTCCGCGGCTGACGATTCCATTGCCGATGGCACTGGCAGCCTGATCTCCTCCCCCCCCGACAACGGGAACTCCAGTTGGCAGCCCTAACTTCTCAGCTGCTGAAGCGGTGAGTGTGCCACTGACTTCCTCTGATTCGTAAACTTTCGGAAGCAGGTCAGGATCGATTTCCAGTTTCGACAACAATTCACCGGACCAGTTGCGGGCTTTGACATCGAGGAGAAGTGTCCCTGAGGCGTCACTCACCTCGGAAGCAAATTCTCCGGTGAGCCGATAACGGACATAATCCTTGGGCAGGAGAATCTGTCGGACTTGTTCATAGTTCTGCGGTTCGTTGTTACGGAGCCAGAGAATTTTCGGAGCTGTAAAACCGGTCAAAGCAGGGTTGGCGACCATGCCGATGAGTGCTTCACGGCCCCCAGCACGGGATTCGATTTCTTCGCATTCTCTGGCAGTTCGCTGATCATTCCAGAGGAGGGCATGCCGAATGACATTGCCTTCACCATTGAGAAAGACTGAGCCATGCATCTGCCCACTGAGGCCGATCCCTTTCACCTCTTCGGGAGTAATGCCGCCTTTGTCCAGAACCATCCGCACACTGGTCGCTGATGCTTCCCACCAGTCGTCAGGGTCTTGCTCTGACCAGCCTGGCTGAGGACTGTAGAGTGGATATTCAACAGTCGCTGAGGCCAGGATTTCGCCGCTTTCGCGAATGGCCAACGTCTTGGTTCCGCTGGTGCCAATATCAATTCCGAGATAAACGCTCATGTGATTTCGCTGATTGAATGAACTTTATTGTCTCAATATGACTACCAGTCTATCGAGTCATCTGAATTGTGCCACAATCAGGGGTCAGAAGCGGTCAGCGGATAGCTCTAAACTGGACCGCTGATTAACACTCATGAACGCGAATTCTTTAATTGACTTGTTTTCGTTTCATCTGCGTTCATCAGTGTTCATGAGCGGTCAAAACAGTTTCTCAGGCGATCAGCTAAGGTGATTTGTGAACTTTGGAGTCTATGAACCATTTTTTCACCCTCGTCAATTCCAATCAGGGTTTAGAGTTTCACTCGCCTCTGGTCTAGGGCAGAGCCTTGCTAGCAGTTGCATGAAAACATTCTCTGTTTGGCATTGAGTACAAAAGTTGAGAGAGAGCAATTTGCTCGACCATGTTTCTGCTGTGGGCGACTTGCACTTCATCGAGAACGCCAATCCACGAAACAGATAATAAGCACTGTTCTGCAATTCGCTCTAAGAAAACGCGGATTTGCACAGATGCGGCGGAGATCTGCGTCAATCTGACAATAGTTAGATGCAAATTCAACAACCCGAGGTTCATCTAATCAAAATCTTTGCTCGACTTGACGCTGAGCGTCGCTCGACTCCATTCTATAATGATAATAAATAAGCTAGCTCACACTTCCTATAGTCATATTACACTTTCATGCTTAAGCATTTAACACGAAATTTGTTCCTGCTGATTTTGCTTCTGTTGTCCTTTGAGGGGCTTACTCTCCAGGAACTGCATGCACAAGAATTCGCCGAGCAGCTGCGACGGCCTTTCTGGATGCAAGGCAGGCAAACCCGGAGAGCGTTCGCTGGCGTTGCTCGTGAGCCGCAAAACTGGACCGTCAAGATCTTCGAGGAGAAAGAATTGGCAGCTTATGGAGCAATCGTATCTGCCGATGGCTGGATCGTCAGCAAAGGAAGTCAAATTCAAAAAGCAACCCTGTGTGAATTGCCAGATGGTCGGCGCCTCCCTTTCAAGTATTTCGGCTTTGATATCGAAAATGATTTAGGGTTACTCAAAGTCGAAGCTGAGAAACTGAGTCCTGTTGTCTGGGAGGAAAACGATCCGAAGTTAGGAGCCTGGATGGTTTCTGTCGATTTAGGGGATATCCCACTCGGAGTTGGAGTCTTGTCGGTCCCTCGCCGCAAGATCCCGCGCTCCAATGCCAGGGGAGTCTTAGGCATTCAATTGGTCATGAGCGATGAGGCTGTGATTGAACGAGTTTTTCCTAACAGCGGAGCCAAAGCAGCAGGCATGGAGCCAGGTGATCTGGTCAGGAAAGTCAACGACACAAACATTCGCGGCAGAAGACATCTCGTCGAAACGATCGCCACCTATCGACCGGGAGACACGTTGCTGCTGACGATTGTTCGGGAAGAAGAAGAGATGAAGCTGTCAGCCACGTTGACTCATCCCTTCGGTGATTTCCTGTCTCGCATTGCATTTCAAGAACAGATGGGAGGCCCCTTGAGCTTTCGTCGTGACGACTTTCCAGCGGTTTACCAACACGACACCGTTCTCTCTCCTGAAGAGTGCGGTGGCCCGGTCATCAACATCGATGGGAAAGCTGTTGGGATCAACATCGCCCGCGCGGGTCGCACAGCGACCTATGTCCTCCCGGCAGACCTGATCATCAACAAGCTTGACGACTTGAAATCGGGCAAATCTCCACCACCCATCACAAACAGTGAAGAACCAGAGGACGAAACATCTGCTGAGTCTGGTTCTGACAGCGATGAGAATTGATGATTCAGTATGCATCGGTCCTTTAGAGATCACTACAGAGACACCGAGATGAGAGAGAGCTAATCGCAATTCTTTAAACAGGAGTGAACGGAGGTAGCAGAGAGTGGTGTATCTCTTAGTTTACTCTGCGTCCTTATGTTCAAATTTTTCTTGTTCCCAAGATTCCCTTTTTGGAACTCGCTTAAACCAAGAATTCATTTCGTTTTGATACCTAATGCCAGATCGATTTTACCTTGATGCCCCCTGGGATGCTCGTGTTGTCCTTTCGGAAGCGGAATCTCAGCACTTGAGTAAAGTCTTGCGTAAGCAGGTGGGTGATCAGGTTGAACTGTTTGATGGAAAGGGCCTGAGGGCCTCAGCAACGGTTGCCTCCATCAAGAAACGCACGGTTGAACTGGAGGTCAATACGGCTCCTACTCAAGTGAGTCAGAGCCCGTTCGATTTAACAATCGCAGTCGCTCCTCCCAAGGGGGATCGGTTGCGGTGGCTGGTTGAAAAAACGACCGAACTGGGCGTGGCTCGACTGGTCTTGCTGAACACGGAAAGATCAGTCGTGCAGCCAGGTGATGCGAAAATTCAGAAACTGAACCAGACCATGATCTCTGCCTGCAAGCAATCAGGACGGGATCAATTCATGGAGATTGCTCCAGCTCTCAATCTGGACGACTTTTTGGAACAAGACGACCATCCTCTAACACGCTTCTACGGAGCGATCCCGAACGGAGAAGAGACAGAACCTTCACCTCAAAAACAAGTTACGGCTGAATCTGCCACTCTGTGCATTGGCCCTGAAGGAGGTTTAAGTGAGGAGGAAATCATGAAGCTCAAAACCTGGAGAGCCCGCCCGCTCACGGTTTCCCCCCATATTTTAAGGGTCGAAACCGCTGCGATTGCAGCCGCATCCTACCTTTTGGCCTGTTCCCTGCAACAATCCTGACGATCTTGGCTGATTCCATGTGTCGTCCTCTTGATTGCGCGTGATTGTCGCGAAATAATGCGATTCTATTCTGGGACGTCATCAGTTTAATCTTGATTAAGAAGAAACAGCCTGCAATGTCGAGCGAGGATGCTAAATGGATGGCCTGGGTCGAAGTTCCCTGGCTGCAACGCTCAGCGCCATCTTCAGCGTTGATCCGTCTCTGTGAACGCTTGGCCAAACAACAGGAGGTGGCGGAGCTATTGAGCGAGGTCGCTGCCGAATTTGGAGTTGCGAGATGTTCCCTGGCGCTCCGTTCACCAAACTGGGAAACCGTTGCGAAACGGGGAGAGCCTGTTGCCTCACTGCCAGGTGCATTGCTGGCAAATGTCATTGATCAAGATTCCGGAGTTCTGACTTCTGGTCATGACGAACAGCCGACAATGTATTTGCCGACAGCTTCATCCCGTCAACATGTCTTGATTCTGAATGGCCCGCGACTGGATGAATCGCAACTGGCCGAAGCACTCACGATCGCACGTGTGCTCGGGCATCGTCTCGATCAATTGGAGCACTTGGAAATTGCGGAGCGGCAAGTGGATCGTATCCGCACGATGACCAGAATCGCGCATACTTTTGCAGGAGAAGTGGAAACACAGGCGCTGTTGGAAAAAATTGCGGAGGAAGTCTCCCGTATTCTCAAAACGGATCGGGCCAGTATCTTCATTTGGGACAAGGAGAATCACCAGTTGATTGCCTGTCCAGCTCTCGGCGTCGAAGGTGGCCGACTCTTCTTGCCCGATAATAAAGGAATCATCGGCGAGACAATTCGTAGCGAGCGGCCCATCATTGTGGACGATGCATACTCAGATACGAGATTCGATCAGGGTGTTGACAAGAAGACTGGTTACACAACTCGCAACCTGCTGTGTGTCCCCTTATTCGATGCAGAAGAAGAATGTATTGGGGCGATCGAACTGATTAACAAGCTGGAAGGAGACTTCAACGACGAGGATCTAGAGTCACTGCAAGATTTTGGTGTACAAACATCGATTGCCATCAAAAATACGCGTGAGCTGGAGAACCTGGTTCGCAACAATCAGAACCTCTCTGAACGTGCTTCCAATGACGTCGCCATTATCGGGGAGAGTGACTCGATGGCTGCCCTAAGGGGGACGATCGAAAGACTGGCTGCGACTGATCTGCCAGTTTTAATCCTTGGTGAAAGCGGAACAGGTAAAGAGGTCGCTGCCCATGCCTTGCATCAACAGGGACCGCGATTGAATCGTCCTTTCGTGGCTGTTAATTGTGCAGCTCTCACCGAAACATTGCTTGAGTCTGAACTGTTCGGGCATGAGAAGGGAGCCTTCACTGACGCCCAGTCGACTCATATCGGAAAGTTTGAACTTGCAGAAGGGGG